CCTAATGCAGCTGTATTGGATGATGATGGACAACTAGTGCCAGCCCAGGTTAATGTTGTTTTTATTATAAAGTTGTAATTAATTGTAACTATTGATGGACTGGGTAAAATGCAGCAGTTACAGGATAATGATAAGACATGTAATAGTACAGAAAATCCATTCTGCTCTCCGTGTGTTACAGATCCAGAGGTCGGCACAATCCAATGTGACCTACGACCTTTTCATCGTGGTGGATCTCGGAGGCCTTCAGCACAGAAAATACTTGGTTAAATTATCTGAGGAGAAATGCTCTGGGAGGTCCAAGTGTGGCCGGACGTACAAAGCCAAAGGAGTTCAGTTTGAGAGATGTTTCACCCGGGACTCATGGGAAACAGGGAGGAGGCTGCTGCCTGTTCTGAGTGGATGCTACAAGCTGATGTTTGACCAGGATACTAATCTACTGCACAGCATCACACATCTGTAAGAGAGTGGAGAGAGTGTTGCACCACATGCAGAAATACTGAAATATTTGCACTAAAAACAGGCAGTAGTTTACGTATTATTACCGAAAATACATTTGTAATGGATTGTTTTTCAAGCATATGGTTCAAATGTCTCTTAGCCAGTCAACTGAATACATTTTGAATTTGGACATTTGTGCAAAACAAGCCATTTTAAATGTTAATCTGCATTTTTAGAATTTGTAATGACCAATGTTAACTACTTTCTACAACACAAATAAGGATAATAGTCTATAAAAAGAAACAAATGTACAGATCATGAGGCGAGGGGAATTATTCAGATAAAAAAAACTCCTACATTCTGAGATTAAAGTTCTATATTTACAAGAAAAGATCTTGGATACTACCTGCTGAGATTATAAATAGTAAAAAAACCACTGTCGTAATCTCAGACACTTATTAGAATGTAAGGATAATTTGCTTAAATTGCAACTATCCTGTGTAAATCCCATTTCTGTGTCTCATACAAATGCTTTTCCCTGGTGCCAGTGTAACTCTCTGACCTTTTGACCTCTGTGTCATCCTTGGCAGCCAAGATAAAAGGAGAGTAATGATGACTCAGGATTTCTGGGAATACCAGGCCAATGGAGACGTGAAAGCCGGGCCCATCTCTGACAACTACATCTTCAGCGCTAACGGGTCAGCTGTTCGGTCCTACAGGGCGGTGGAGATGGAGATCATCCCCGGGAAGATCGTCACGGAGATCAGGCAGAACTTCTACAGGTAACATCAACCTTCTGTACTGTAGTCAAATCAACCCTTATGTGGTATTTAATATTTTAATTTAAAGGGGACCTATTATGCAAAATCCACTTTTTCATGTCTTTTATACATCAACATGTGTCCCCTCTGTGTAAAGAGATTCTGAAAGTTTCAGGAAAAAAGGTTCTCTCACTTTTTGTCCTGATCCATTTATATAAAAACCTGTCGGAAAATGAGCTGATCAGATTTTGGCCACTTTATGATGTCATAACGTTTTTTTGGCTTGTGTAACCATTAGCCAATCACCAACCAAGGTAACACCCCGAGCATGGCAACCATACTCGGGGGTCTTCTTCGCTGCTTTTGGTGTATTTTGTGGCGGAAGTACAGCGCCACTTACAGGCCCGGCATATGTACTACAGCGTCTCCAGCGGGTCGAGCGGTCTCGTGTGGACGGACACGTTTGTTGAGCCGATACCGTGTGGACGGAAGACTTTTTTGATATCGAATTCGGTTCGGACAGAGAATCAGCACTTTTGAAACAGGGCTGAAACAGAGGGGATTATGGGATGCTGCAATGATCTGTTTGGTGTTTGGAGCCAAACACTTCAGAGACATGTTTTGTATATATCTGAGACCTATAATATATTGATGAAAAACAGTATAATAGGGGACCTTTCATATATTTCAACTTCTAGAGAGGAAGGTGATAAAGACTACACTTACTCCATCATAACCCGAGTCCCAGAATGCTTTGGGAGCAGGCTGCAGTGCCACAGGCTGGAGCAGAGGTACTGGGTGGGCCCGCTGCACCTCAACACAGAGGTGGTGCTCAGAACCAGCTCCTCCCTGAAGAACAACCGGACCCTGTACACCGATGATAACGGCTATCAGATGATGAAGAGGACATACAGGAAGTTCATCAACAACACAGTAGCCAGAGTAAGTTCCTGGATGTATAAGGCAATTATGGTATAATGGGAATACTGGAATCTGTGGCATAATGTGTGTATAATATGTATTTTGCAGAATTACTTCCCCATGGTCCGGGCAGCGTACATTGAGGATGAGCTCAGCAGACTGGTGCTGGTCAGCGACAGAGCTCACGGTGTGTCCAGCCAGGCCAACGGACAACTGGAGGTAAAAGGGAATATATGTTATTTATATTTGGGGTAATACACAAATAACAGGAAGTGAAACATATGGCTGTAAATTCGAGCTTACAAATGATATTGTTAAAGTAAAACTAAACTGAAATGACATTGCCAGGTTAAACAAAAATGTAAAATATAATCAAAAGGATAACAAAAATATTATCGTTTTAACTGTTTTGCTTTAATTATCACTCCAAAAAATAATTTCCCCTTAACTCTCGCAAAATCAAACCACAGAAACTGAGCACACTTCCAGGAGTGTCAATGTAACCCACATTTGTACATGCATTTAGGGCTTGTCTGTAAATAAAAATACAAAACTGAAACGTAACTAAAACTAGGACTTCAAAAAATCAAAATCTAATGAACATAAAAACTATTATAACCTTGGTATATAGGAAGATAAACCCCCCCCCCACCTTATCACCTGAATGTCCTCCGAGAGCACCATTGTGTTCTTTTTAACCAAATATCTCTCAGAGTGGCGTGGGGAGGGGCTCCTTATTTTCATCTGAAGTAACAGACAGAGAATCAGCACTTTTGAAACAGGGCTGAAACAGAGGGGATTATGGGACGCTACAATGATCTGTTTGGTGTTTGGAGCCAAACACTTCAGAGACATGTTTTGTATATATCTGAGACCTATAATATATTGATGAAAAACAGTATAATAGGGGACCTTTAACATCCTGTGTGTTTTCCTCCTCAGGTCATGCTCCATCGGCGTCTTTGGAACAACCTCCCCTGGAACCTGGGCTACAACCTGACCCTGAACGACAGCTCGGTGGTGCGGCCCGCCCTGTGGGTGATGCTGGGCTCCATCAGCACCGCTGCCAGGCTCCAGCAGAGGGAGGCCATCGAGCTGCAGCACCCCCCTGTCATCACGCCCATAGACCAACCCCGTGAGAGCCTAGCTATTTAGGGCTCAAAACAGTAGATTTTTATGTTTTTTTAGCACTTATCTTTGTGTCTCTTGTATCCTCAGAGAAGCAATGGCATGAGGAGAAACCCAGACGACTTTCTCCGGTGCGTTCGGTGGTCCTGCCGCCCAACCTCCACCTGCTCAGCTTCAGTATCCCCGGGTGGAGCTACAGCTCTAATCATGCCGTTCACCTCGGCCACATAAACTCAGGTCAGGCCACAGGTTTTTTTTTTTTTACAGTCCTTTAATTTGTCCTAGGGATTAAATTCTGAAAAGTACATTTTGCTTTACATAAATCTAGGTAAGGACTTGCACTCAGAGCCAGACTACGATCGAGTCCTGTTGAGGATCATGCATCTCTTTGAGGAGGGAGAAGACCCAGAGCTCTCGAAGCCAGTCACAATAAACTTGAAGGTGCGCCACATATACTCGCAAGTGGAAAGCCTTACATTTGTATCATTTAAATATAGAACTTACATGATTTTTTCGCTTTATAACAGGATGTCCTGCAGGGCATTGGGGAAGTAAAAGGGCTGGAGGAGCGTTCTCTCACAGGAACCTGGGACATCACCACGCTGCAGAGGTGGACGTGGAAGACTGAGGATAACTTAGAATCAAGTGAGAAGTCTTTTAACACTGGCATTCAAATATTTAAAAATAAACCTATATTAATATGTGGAATTTTAAACATTTTTCCCATTCCTTGTTTGTGTTTTCTTTACCTCAGACAGCACCATGTGTCCGAGTGGCGGTGATGGTGCGTTCAATGTGACCATCTCTCCCAAGGAGATCAGGACCTTCTTCGTTCACTTTGCCTCCAAGAACTTTTAGGCTGACCTGTCTTCCGTGAAGATAGCTAATGACAAAGCTTTTAGCAGTGTATATAAATGCTTCTTTTTGCACATTTTGTTAATTTGTTGACTGATTGATTGATTCCCTGTTGATTGACTCTGAATAAAGTGATTATTTTTGATATTTTCGTTCATTGTCCTACTTTCCTACTATAGCCAACCAGCACTACAATAAAGTTTGTTGGATAATTGGGATTTTTTTACAAATTACCAATGAGAAATCCAAACAGGATGTGGAACCTAATAGTTCAATAGAGTGAATAAACTTCGAAAGAAACTATCTACAGTCAGATGTGCAACAATCTTCAACTCAGGCAGCCTGGATTTGTCCAAAGTAAAATAAAAATCTGTCTATTAATAACACCTAGGCTATGCTTACTTTATGCAGGACCTGCAACTTTTCAATTTAATTTAGAGTGACATTATCGTTCAAATTGGTCAATTTAATAAATTGGTCAATTTAATAAATTGGGCCTTCTGTGAAATTACACCAGGGAGGGGTCACTCATTCTTCTTGCTGCTTTATGATGTTTTTAGATACATTTTATTTGTTTAAATGAATTACGGGCATGGCATATACTGCATGAACAGAAACATGAATGATGGACAAGGGTATAGTGTAGACTTTTTCCAAGAATTGTCAAACCATGCTTTAAATAAGTATACTTTACTAAATATATGCAGTTAGACCTATGACTCTGGGGCCCAAAAATAGACACATATTTAGTCCAATAAATTGTAAACCATACAGAATTTAACATGTTTATGGCATTATTTACACATTCTCTTCTCTTGGCTTTTAGATATCAGAATTGAACGGTAGTACTCCATCATGACCGCTAGGGGCGTACCATGCCCAACACCAAACCAACTTCACTCTGCGACAGCGAGCATCGAGAAGGAAACACCCGAGGAGACACACAACCTTTCTGTCTGTGTACAACCCGTAGCAGCTAACCAGGGAAATAAACCCTTAAAATCAGCATAATGTAAGGTTTAAATGTTTGCATATAAAAACGCCATGATCGCACCGGAAGCAGACGACGTTATATGCAGTTTGGTACAAGATGAGCAGCAGCAGCAGTGTGAGTTTCCTTCATATTTGATAAGACTTAAAGTGGAATTGAGAGATTATCATAAAATCGAGTCGAGTGCATCCATTTTGTTGCATGCAATGTCACGTCATACTTTATTATTAATGCATTAATCCTTATTGATCATCGTTTATTATAACGTCTTTATTGTCGATACAGGATGCTGAAGGGGCGCTGCATGTTGCTAGGATACTAGACTGGGAGAGGGATGATGGGAGAATTCTAGATCAGAGTTAAGGTTAATGTAAACTTTAATGCTAATAACTTTATTATTATATAATCACTGTCTTCTGCAGAAACGAGAGAGGGAGCAGAGGAGGAAGCTGCAGCACTTTCTGAATGACCTGGCCTTACTCGGGTCTTTACAGGTGAGTGAGTGCACATGCATGCAGAGATGAGTAAACATGATCAGACTTCTTTGCTTTTGCAAATAACATGTGTGTTTGTGTTGCAGGGATTTAAATACTTCCAGCCTTGGCTCAGAGGGAAAGAGGAGCTGCTGCTGACCGTCGTTAACGAGGATCTGGTTCGTTTTTGTAGAATCCACACAGTAGGCCTACAGCCATGGATCCACTACAGAGTTTCACTCAAAGACACGTTTACTAACCACATGGAGAGCCAAAATGACCACCTAGAAAAGTAATACGACTATAAAGAGACCAAGACAGCTGCAAGGAGACACAAAGTGCCACAAAGAGACTCAAAATGAGCATGACAAGGGGCAAAACAACTATAGCAAGACACTCATAATGACCACGAAGAGACACAAAACCACTAGAAATGGCAGCAAAACAGCCTTCAAAAAGACAAACTCAATTACAGAGACCAACACATTATTATAAAGAGGAACAAAATGGCCACAAAGTGAAAAAAACGAAATGAAAATAGACAAAATGACCACAAAAGTCACACTAACAACCACATAGATTCAAAACAAAAAAATATTTATAACAGCAAAGAGCATCAACTCCTATGTCTGTTCCCAGGATCTTATCGTCTCATATCCCAAATAAATATATCTCACTGCCTTGCATCAACCTCATGTATTAATCATCATCATCATTAGGGACTGCAGTTATAACCGTGTGTCGTCGTCCCCCCCCCCCCCCCCCCTGCAGGGTTTTCGCTCTCCAGGCTTCGTGGTCTCCAGAGCCTCCTCCCTCTCCTCCATCAGCAGCTGTAACAGCAGCGATGTCTCCCCCAGCAGCAGCTCCCCCAGCCTGGGCAGCCGAGGCAGCTCTCCCCTGCCTGGAGAGGAGCCTCCGGGCCCCCGAGAGCCTCCGCCACACACACACACCAAGACGCAGCCACAGACTGTCAGGTGATTGATTACACGCCTGGAAATAGAAATATGTATATGATGTTATTGGGCGATTTCAAATCTGAAAATGAGAATCAGTGTATGTGGTAGCATTTTATTGGCATCCTTTGGTGCATCATGTTGTGTTAGTTGTAAACAAAACAAACAATATGTTAAGATATACAGTGATTTACATAATAATAATAATAACAGTAATAATTGATGACATTTGTATAGCGCCTTTCAAGGGACCCAAGGCCGCTTTACATAGTGAACAAACAAACAAAAGGGGCAAATAATAATGTAAAAAAAAAAAAAAATAGCAGTAGGAGTGGAAGCATGGGGACTGTGATTGGTTAGGGGTCAAAGGCCATGGTGTGATGGGTTAGGGGTCAAAGGCCATGGTGTGATGGGTTAGGGGTCAAAGGCCATGGTGAACAGGTGAGTTTTTAATGATGACTACATGGTTATCTGAGGCATAAATGTTTTTATGTTTATTGGAAAATGAAAATAGTGACACAGTTTTTATGTGGCCAACAATTAGGTCACAGTTCACGACAAGAAGAATGGTTCCATTTTGTAGGAATGTGCCTCCAATCGCTAAAAATCTTTTGGTAGACGGCAGAAAATGTAACATTTTGTTAATCGATGAATGTGTAAAGGGTCGGTCGAGCAAAAAACAATGGTGATTACAGCTTCTCAAATATGACTATCTGCTCTTTTCCAATTTTAAATGTTGTAAACAGGGGAAAAAAATGTATTTTTATATCACATGATCATCTCTCCTTATACTAATAATTGGTTGAAATGTCTCTGTCCTCAGGGAGCCTTGCGGTGAGGAGCATCTCCTCCCAGCCTCCCCCAGTGAGAGAGAGATAGCGGTTCCTGTGAGTGCTTCACCTGGTCTTTTACTTTTCCATCCACTAACCCTCTCTCTCAAGTCTGACCGCTTTGACTTCCCCCCCCCCCCCCCCCCCCCCCAACAGGAGGTGAACTGCACTCTGTTCCTACTGGCCGGCTACGTCAAGTACGGACGGCCCTACGCCTGGATCCGCTCCAATCACGAGCGCCTGGTCAACATCGGGGGCACCGACTCCATGGTCAAAGACACGCCCATGAAACTCAAGTCCATCTCAGACTGGCAGACGCGAGGTATGGAAACAATGTGAGGAATCCAAACACGAGAGAAAGCTATTGTTTAACCGCACAGATTCAATAATTACAAGTTTTTCCATGAGCTAAATCAGACGCAGATGTCTTAGCTCAACCTCAAGACTACTGTTTGGTGTGGATTAGTGTTGTGGAAAAAGCTCCAGGTGATGAAAGACTATTAAATCTCTGCTTTATAAATGGATTACAATTTAAAACAAATAGTTTTCTGTTGTTTTTTCACAGGTATTCGCGTGTGGGATGTCATCAGTGAGCTTGTGTGTCTGTGCACCGTCCCCTCTCCCTCCAACCCCTTCGCTCTGGACATGCGCTACATCCAAAACCTTCCCTTCCCCGACCGCTTCCTGGTCACAGGCGCTCTGCTTAACTTCCTGGATACGTATGTGGTTTACGGTAACCGGGACGAGTTGCACTATGACAAAGGTAGGAGCTCCTGGAAAGACTGAGAGAATTACAGTGCATCATTTTAATTTACTTTTATAATCTTAGCCAGCAGGTGATGCTGTTTAGCTACATTACGAAGGGATGAAACGATTTTGATGATAGTTTTCTCCTTTCAGTGGTGGAAGAGGTGAAGCCTTTGAGGCGTCTTCACGTCCAATCCCTGCTGGAGTTACAGCGACAAAGGGCGGGTTCTTCTGGAGAGGAGTGACTTTAGTCTTAAGTGAGATATCATTGGTGCACTTTAACTGACTTATAGTAGAGACAAATACAGCATATAGGGTTTAAATGTGTGAAATCTCTTCAAAAGGGTCTGTATTTAAGTCATTTTTTGTGTGTTTGTCTACTTTCTTTCAAGGCTACACACTCCAGTTGTATCTGTGCTCAGTTAGAAGGTAGTCACATGTATTTTGGAGGTAAAATAACCCTGGGAATTGTGTCACATGACTGAGATTAAACATCCCAGGACCTCTCTTGATATCTTGCCCCGCCACCCCCAAACCCTTCAACCCTGCTCTCCCAGGCCAAATATAACATTTTCAAAGCGGAGCAAAACAGACATATTTATCAGGGTCCAAGCTGCAGAAGTTAAAACTGGTTAAACATTCATCACAGCTGTATGAAAACAAACATGTACAGACAAACAAGTGTTGTATAAAAAGTTTTAATATTCCATAAAATACATATTTAATTAAATATGTACAATGACATAAAAACAGTACACTGATAAAAATACGCCTTGAAACAGGCACTTTAACCCCTTTTGTGAGATGGGGGGGGGTTGCACGTTTTGTAAATAAAAAGATACATCACAAGTACAAAATGTTAAAATAACCCGATTAAAACTTTGTGGCACATCAGTCAAAAACACTTAGCTTAGTTTTGGTCAGAAAAAACAAAATGGTAGCCTCAGGGTGTACCACTAATCCTTAAATCTCTCATTTGTAAACCGTAAGACACTAATCACCTTCATGAGAGGCCGTTACGCAATACTGCACATATCAATGTCTATAACCGTCACTTTTAATTAAGCGGGGCAGGGGCCCCTTTTATGGCTTCGGTAATGAGAACGACTCGGCGTAAAACGGCACATTGTGACGAGGCTGCTCGATATGCAAAGTCATGGTTAGACGTTTCTCCAATTTCCTCCACGTTTGGAATGCAGGTGCACGGCCGAGCATTCCACACCGAGGCTCCAGATGGGAACACAGCGTTCCCAGTGTCCGCACACAAACAAACCCGCAAGTCATGGCTGAGTGTGTGTTTTCCCACATGAATGAAAATAATTTGGCGCAGTGGACGGTTAGGATCTGTTTTTGTTTTTTTTGGAAGGATGTTGCTGTAAAAGGTAGGATTTGTTGACCCTAAAGCTTCTACTGGGGTGTATGTTTTCCAAGTTACTGACAAAAAAGCAGTTGGAAATGATTATATTTGATCTGTTTGGATGTCTAATTCTAATGAAAGTGCTAAGGAACAACATTTCAAACTATAAATGACCTCTGACATCTATATACCCTTGTCCGAAACTATCATAATGTAAATTAAAAAAAGGGTGTTTTGTTCATCCGAATAAAATACAAAGATGAGAAACCTGCCAGTGCCACATGGTTAAAAGAATAATAAAAAGAAATCATGACCTGTCACAAATTTCATAAATAAAAATCTGCCTTCAACGAAAGCTCTTGTCGTCTTTTTCCAGTTTTTGGTCGTCTCTGTGGACAAAAGTCTCTTTTCCGACAGATCAAACTCTTTGGCAAAACAAACAAGCCGTCCAAAAACAGAGGCCCGGAAATGAAGCAGTCTGCTCCCTAAATGGCTTGCAGCCAGTCACAAGTCCTCACAAAGCTGTTGACAGCTGAACAAAGGCGTTCGTCAACAGCTTTTTGTGCTACATAGGACGCCACTCTTGCAAAAGTCAACAGACGACTTTGCTGCGTCGAAAAACCGTACGTAGTCCGTACGCTCACTGATTATGGCGACATCCTTTCCTCCTTCATCCAAATATGGACTTTCCCCTCTTCCCACTCTTATCCCCTTTGTCCTCCCTTCTGTCTTGTAATCGCTCCCGTCAGTGCTGTTGTCCTTGAGGTTGTTGTCAGGTAAATGTGGTCCCATTTTTTACGTAAGGGTAAAAAGCGTGGGTTCAGTTCCAGCTGTCAGAGGCAGACCCTCTTCTCGTGATGGCTCTGAGGGGGCTGCGAGACACAGAGCCCCTCTTCTTCCAGCGAACTGAAAAGAAACAGACAGAGAGGGATGAGTCAGTGGTGTTAGCTTAGCAGCTGCAAATGAAAAGGGAACTCTGTTGTATAAATGTTACTTATGAACATCCAAGAAGCCTCAATAGTGTGTTAACCTTGGCTTTAAAGTGTCATAGTCAAGGTTTTACATTTACTGTTACATACTTCAGCATTTGTTTTGTGGTCACAAAAATGTGCTTACTGCATTGGGAATCTTATCTTTCCAAACAACTTGGAGAGCAAGAATGATAAAGACAAATAACCAGGAAAAGTTTCTTCAATCAAACACCATTCAAATAGGGCTTTTTGATTACCACCAGTATGCCTGACAAAGCCGAGTAAATACATAATGGATCAGCTTTTGACATGCGTTTAAAAAGAGAAAGAACTAAAAAAAAAAATGTAAGGGGGAAATACAGCATTTAAAAGTTGCAAGAAGTAAACAAATCTAGGTGGGCTAGGAAGATGTGGCCTAAGCTAAAGCTAATTGAATGTTAACTGTGAATGAAAAAGGTCTTCAAAAAAAAAAAAGCTTTGAAATAGTTGGTTTTTATAGTAAATCTAACTGAAAAACACCAGAAGCAGCACTAACAAGTTTAAACAGCAACTAGTCTAGAAGCTACCCTAAAATCTCATAATGAAAATATATATTTTTTTAAATGAGTGTTTCAGTCTCACCTTTTCCCAGACTGGCAGGTAGCGTGCAGCTCTTGGTGTTGGCGGGGGAGTTCACCGACTCCTCTGCCAGTTTCCCCTTCCCCTCTCCGGGCTGCAGCGCGGCCGACCCCTCCTGCTGGAAGTCGCTCAGCGCCCGTTGGAAAGAATGCGCCAGACACGCCGTCATGTCCCGCGCCCGCTCCGCCCGGCTGCACCAGAACACTCGGCACTGCAGCTGCTGCCCCTGGTGCTTGCAGATGTACAGGAAGACATTGGGCCGGTTTGCGTCCGCCGCACAGTACGCGATGTCCTGCAGGTACGTCTTCGTCAGCTGCCGACCTGTACTCAGCTCCTTGACCTCCACGTATCTCGGCCGCACCACCAGGGCGTGATCTTTGCTGAGCTTCTTCCCGTTTGAAACACCTTCCAGCAGGTGGCTAATAGCGTCCTGGGCCTGCTCTCGGTCCAGAGAGAAGATCTTCTCCGTGCCCAGGTAGTGGACCTTAAAGAGAGGGTCTCCGTGGGATAGAGACTCTGTGCGGTCGCGGCGAAAGCGGCGACGTAGCGCAGCCGGAGAGTTCTTGAGAGTCTGCATGAGCTGAAACGTGCTGAGCGACATGGTGCGCTTCAGGCTGGATTTGGGGGAAATGTTGGCTGAGGTGTGATCACCAGAGGTCAGCTGGTCCTCTTTAGAGCCTCTCCCACTCTTCCACCTTTCTTCTACGAATGGAGCGTAGTTGCATCCACTGCTTTGATCTGAAATGAGGCAGAGAAAGACAGTGATGTTAGCAGATGAATTATGTATCAAGAAGTTAATGGGGATAGGGTGCATCCTGGAAATTGTTTTGACATTGAGTGTTATCTTCTACATGCGTTCCAAGCCTTGATGTGGAAAACTAAACATGCAGTCAGCACAGCTTGTACCGCAGCATGGAAAAACAAAAGGCCACCTAACAGGATCAGTTACGAATGTGACGCGCGGAGGAATATTCACTCACCACAGACCATTAAATATTTACACTCCGGTTTGTCCTCACAGCTTTGAAGAGACACACTGAACTGGACACATGCCCAAATAAATTGAAGGTTACACAGTGACACACAGGTAATCACAGGTGCATAGCTGTGTTTAAACTCATCCCTGTGCCAAGCATTACATACACTCATATCACCATGTTATTAGTTACTGAACAACTTCTCAAATTCTTTGACCTTGCCTTTTTGAGCCTTATACAATGTCCACTTCTGGCCTCCCATTGTCTCCCATCCTACTCACCCACAGAACTGCATGTTCTCTATTGTGTCAAAACTTTATTTGTTCCCCCTTTCTCTTTTCTTGGCCATTCTTTCAACATCCTAGCTCCTCAGAAGTGACTTGCAGAGAAAACCACCAACTGTTCCAAGGTGGTGACCATTGTTAAGCGACCCCTTGAGCAGGAAACAGCTTTGCATTCTCCCCCCCCAACCAAAATATTTCTCCTATAAACAATGGCATGCTTTTGTGAGTATGTCACATCGCAAAAGGGGACGCAAGTTGACCTAAAGTCTCGCCCAGACCCAGGGCATGCACACATGCAGCTACACGTGTGGGCTGTACACAACTTTCACCTGGAAACTCACAGACAGATAGCGGGCTGTTTTGCATTTACGCAAGACTGCTTTACAACGACAACACTGGTTTTCCCTGTGCTCAATAACCAAAAGAGTACAAGATAAAAAGTTACAAACACGTCATGTGCCTAAAAATACTTGTCTACATGATCTGAATAAACAACTTTACTTCAATCTGACGTGCAAAGAGCTGTCACATCCACAGTCCATCCTGTGTGTGAACATTTATTCAGTAGCCAAAACTCATATGCAGAGATTATTGCTCCAAACTATATTCTAAATAATGTATACATAAATATACATAATACATCTCCATAAAGAGGTCATTTTAAGGATACATTTTTTGTGTAATCTTGCATCAACACACAAGATATAATTGATGTATGTATTGCTATCACACTACTTTTCCATGCTACACTTATTTATTTATTTTTAAATTACTCTACCTATTGTTGTCCACCTTTGTAAATTGTAATTTGTATAATTTCCATCTCTAATGTTTTATGCATGCTTATATTAAATGTTTTGCCTCCTTACTTTTGCTGTGAGAGTGTAAATGTCCCCTCTGTGGGATTTATAAAAGGTATTGTGATTGAGATTATTTGTTTAAAGCAACAAACAAGGAATTAAACCGGTAAACCCAATCCAAAATACAACTGATTGAGCAATGGCAAACTATTTCTCCAAACTTTTTTTTCTGGTCATTTTCTCCTTCTTTGTATGCCGAATTAACCAAAAGAGCCTACTGATTACCTACATCTAATAAACAAGATATACTGTGCTGTATAGTTGCAGAAATAAGCGAGATAACTTCAAATTGGCTGATTTTTTAAATGTGGTTTGGCGAACCCCGGTATAAGATAACAGCCAAACTGTCAAAAACCTGTTACATTTCTCAGTGCATTTCACCTTTACCTATGAAAAAGTCGATTAAAAAACTTAGAAAATGTATCTTACCTGGCCACAGTTTCATGCAAACGATGTCCTTTAGCGTCTCAGGTGAACCTCGGAGTTCCGTGATGTTTTGAAACACTGGGCAGGTGGAAGTGTGCTATCCTGCACGCTTTTACGCAAAACCAGCTTGAAAAGTCCTTATTGTTGAAAGAAATAATCGATTAACCGAGTCGGTTTCGGTTGTCCCGTGAGTTCAGTGTTCGTCTTGCGTAAATAGATGTTTAAATGAGACAGTTTATGTGCAGGCTGGATCATGCTCTCCTTTCTCTGCTCGCGGTGAGTTGAGTGAATGAAGAGCTCGCGCGACAACCGTTTTTAAAACAGTGTAGGCGCGGGCTCGTCACACACGTGGACGAGCGCTGGTGTCAGAGCCAGGTCAGAGCAGAGAGGAGGCTGTTCTGAGGAGGGAGTGATGATTTACAATAGAAAAGGGATTTACAATACATCATGTACTGTACATGATAGGGTGGATAATAATAATAATAATAATAAACACTTACTGGCATGGGTGTTTCAAAAGAAGATGTATGGCATACCTCCTTCATGTACATGCCCCCTTATAGTTTTCCATGGTGGAAAGTAACTGAGTACATTTACTCAAGTACATACACATTTGATACTACTTTATACTTTTACTCCACTACATTAATTGTACATATATATTTACTAGTTATTCTATAAATTCAGATTTTGACACTAAATACTTTTAAAATATGATCATTTGGTATAAATAACAGCATCCAACATTGTATTTGAGTACATAAAAACGTATTTTACAGTTTCAGCTCGCTATATGATATATAATATTTGACAATACATGGGTCTCCAATATGGTATTATTTTGTATACGTACTGTACAAAATATGATTGGATATTTACCTTGGTTAAGGTTCTAAAATGAGAGTAGAGGGTCAATAGACAGCTATTTCTCTATTATCAATTAACCTTTTGGATAATTATTTACTCAAATAAAGCATCAGAAATGTTCCCAAAGCTGTCATCCACATTTTTTGTGTGACCCATGATATGAATAGTGGAGAGGATGATTTTGCATTAACATAACTAATCAAAACGATTAAAATGTAGGTTTTTTTATGACAATATAAGAATCGTCATCTTTTCACAAGCCCATGACGCTATGCTCCACCAACTGAAAGTTTCACATTACCTGCTACAAGTAGAAAACAAGGCTTGAGGAAACATCTGAAACCCACTACCTTTCATTACCTCCACATTGCGTCAGAGCCCCTCTTTAATGGGGATCGCTGGCCTCCCTAGTTCAGATCTGCTCCGAGTGTTTATTCTGGGGGCATTTTAAACAGTGGCAGAAGAAAAAGCCTGAACGGTTCCATGTGTGTATGCGTCTAAGTGTGTGTGGCTGGGTGTGCCTGATGTGGAGAAACAGTAGGGCCCCTGTTTCTCCTGGGTTTGGCCCAACAGCAGTTAAGTTCTGAACGTCACACTCGCCTCAGAGCCTAGCGGGACACACTGTAACTGTTCTTGGGGCCCCGGTGACATAATGGACCATCTCAGACATCAGGCTCCCACCCTCCTGACGTGTCTCACAACAACAGCGAGTCAGCATCCAAACTGTAGCATACGCAGGCGTGCAGCTGCAGCTCTTAAGACAGGGGTGTCCAAACTTTTTTCAATGAAGGCCACATACAGAAAATAAATACGAAGGGCTGGGCCCCTCACTAGAGGAGAGCTATATTGCCTCATAAGTTAAGTTATAAGTTAGCTAAATAAAAAATGCTTTAAGAAACACAACAGCCTAAATCCCAGCTCTCCAGAGGGTTTATTTTATTTAGTTATAATCAGAATCAGAATACCTTTATTCGTCCCACAGCTCATTCCTTAAAACAGAAGCCTCAGATTGCTTATAAAAAGAGGAAATATGAAGGGTAGATTTCAAGGTTGGTATGTAAATAAGTTATTAGGCTTTTTTTAATCAACTGAGATTTGTTTAAACATTTTTATCCAACTTTAATTTACAGAATTGATGTGAAAAGTGGGTTTATTAAGACATGAATACGGTGTGATATATTTGTACATATATATTTAAGAAGTACAATATATAACAAGCACAAGTTAATTTGTGGGCCATATTTCATTATACTTTTTTAATTAGCTAAGGGCCGTTTCAAAACGGACCGCGGGCCGCTTTTGGCCCCTGGGCCGTAGTTTGGACACCCCTGTCTTAAGAAGTGCAGACTTTACAGGTTTAACCCCCAACTAAAACACTTACTGTTTATTTGAGAAAACACAAATGTACTTTGTGTTTAGGCTGTATTGAATAAGAAATATTGTATGCAAAAAAGATACTCTGGAAATATTGGTTGGACACTTCGTAGACGTGGATGGTTCCCAGAGGATAAACCCTACTGACTTTAATGATTCCCTGTACTTCTCCTGCACCAACATTTAGATTGAAGCTAATTAGCGCAATGTCTTAACAACTACTTTTTTGGATAGAAACTTTTCCCTTTTTCAGTGAAATATCAACAACTTCCAATACATGTTTGGCCTAGGTGGCTAGCATGATCAGAAAGCACATTCCCATGAGCTCTACTAAGTGATAGGTAGGTTTTATCATGCTAACACGCTAAACTCAGTGAGTGAACATTTAACCAATGGTTAAATTATGCAACAATATCAATATCTACTGGATAAACACCACATTTTGAGTGAGATATTTATGGTTCCCAGAAGAGGTGTCCCAATGGAAATGACTTTTATGGTGGTTAGTACCACCACCATAAAATGGACACTTGTTTTATCAATAAAATATTTAGTATCATGGAACCCTTGACTTTTCATCTACCACGATCGGGAAATCGACATTTAAACTTGTCTGTCCTGCTTAAAACTTCTGCATTGTAGCATAGCCATTTGGAGCAATTGTTTTTTAATATAAGTAGCTTTGATTATACTCTTTGAGCAGAAAAATCTGAGTTCTTTGAGAGAAAAAAAACCCCCAATTTCAAATGCCAATCTCTCAGAATCAGAGTTCTTTTAAGATAATGGGCTCTATTACAGACACACCCAATTGTTCAGAAACTAATTGGCAGCCATTAATTTAAATGCATTCACTGCTGTGACTGAAACCAGCCAAGTCTCAAGAGGTTGTTGCAAGTCATTGTGGGGAAACAAAGACAATCTGTGACTGCAGCAATGGGCAGGGTGATGGGAAATAGTAGGTTCATGAGAGCAACACCTCATGACACAACAGCTCCTTCAACGGACAGTTCAACTGAGAGGACATTTGGGGATTTAGAGGGAAATATCACAGATTGTACCTTTAACCAAAGAGAGAGAGAGAGAGTGGCAGACAGGGAGAACGTGGAGCGTTTGTTGATGAGATTATCTATAAAAACCCACTAAGGTTTACTGAGTTATCTGTTTAACTCATATTTTCACAGGGTTTTGACCTCTGTTGAGGTTGCCATAGTGGAACATTTGAACAGGGATGTAACACTGCTATTGTTGGAAGCAGGGCAAACAAATTAAGGAAGTAAATTGACACAATATAAGCTCCCTCCCATCCGTTGGGGAGATGTTTTATGCCCAGTTCCCTTTTTCTAAACCTCTGTAAATCAGATATGATTGGCATTTATTGATGCAAACCTACAGCTATAGGCTTGTAAACAGTGAAGACTTGTTCTAGTTCTACTGGAGCTAAGAACCACAACACAATCGGCCCCTGGCACCATTACAACCAGTGCTATGAGTGCTAAGTCTTACTTACAAGGCATACAACATTTCATAATAACCTGTACTGTCAATCACTTGTTAACTACATTGCTAGCATTACAAAAAACGACTGTAATTAAGTGCTTAATAGAAAATGTAAGTATGCTAACATACTTAACTCAGACACTGTACATTATACCCATATATATATTATTTTTTTATTACGTCGACTAAAAAGTTAGCCCTTGTCCTTGTGAGCATGTTAGTAGTAATGTGTTTTTATTACATGTACAGCACTTTGGCTCGACCAAAAATCGCTTTTAAATGTGCTTTATAAATAAAACCTGATTTGATTTGATTTGATTTGATTTAGTGTTCTGACTTGACCTCAGCACAAAACAGATTTAAGGTCAAACCAGATTATGTGTTCCCATATACATAAAGAAAATTATAATAAGTAATTGATACATTTTAATTTTCTAAATATGATATTAAAGCACCATTGCCTTTTTGGTACTAACAAATCAAATCAACATAAAGAGAAAATAAATGAAGAAAATACATTTCAGTCAGGAGTTACCAGATTAAAGTCAATTTCTACAGCTAACAAGGCAAAGTCATACATAATAATAATAACAGCACTTCATATTAGAATTATACCAACATTTAAAGAGGCTGTAAGTTTCACTGATGTTCCTTTTGCAAAAAAATAAAGAATCACCATGTTCAAAACCATGGCCTTTCTGTCATATCTGAGCCAAATGCTCACTGTTATGCATCAATTCTCAGCACGCCAGCTTTTGTTGTTGTTTACTCGAATACCACAGACACCCATACAGTCTGTTCCAGCAGAGCTTCTACCTGTGAAGCGAAGCTGGATGAGGTGTGCAGATACGAAAACAGGAATGCAGATTTATGGGTCGACTCACACTGAGGCAAAAAAACTCAGACATTATACAATTTCAAATAAAAGGGATAGGGTTAGGCTTAGGGTAAGATATTGAGTAAGAACATGTTTTTATGAACCACACAGCTTCTGGTCTTCCAAGACCCGACCGGACAAAAAGACGTGTTGCAGGCACGAAACATACTACCAATAGAAATACATTGCATTTAAAATCGTTCTGTGTGACACGAAAAAAAGGTGAAAATCGTGTTGGTGAACACGAATCAATAGATTAAATTAATTTCGTGACTAATACACGAAATGCCGTGAGACTGGGTTGCTCAAACACAGAGAACATGATAGGAGTAGCAGTTTGTTTATGTCCAAGTGTGTTTAAGGTTATACGGTTCAAGTAAACACAGAAGGGTGCATTGCATCTTATCTGTCCATCCTGAGCGGATATGTGTCTTGATTTTGACTGTGATTACGTTTTGTTATTTTGAAAAGTACATTAGGAAACAATACCTAACACTCAGTGGATGTCGTAACAAATGCTGAAGTTGCAGTAAGTGTGTCACAAGTTCATATAGAGGTGAAGTGGCCCTGCTTTACATACAGTATATGATGTTTGTACATTTAAAATATAGTTCTGTACGTCAAGAAAGCCTCAGTTTGTTGTAGTATGTATAACTGCTGAACTAAATCTCTGTTGGTAT